GGGGACGTCGTCGTCCAGGGTCGCTGTCCGGTCCGCTTGTCGAGTCCGCCACTCGACGTAGTGCCCGCACTCCCCCACGCCAGCGTCCGGCGCCGTCCGAGCTCGCCTCCGTGACCGGTCCCTTGTGAAGTCGGCAGCCCAAGCCCAAGCCAAAGACCCCTTCCTTTGTCTCCGTTGCCCTTCTTAAGACCTTCCCAAGTCCTTGTCCCGCCGACCGTCCAATCGGGAACCTTACTGCGAGCCGATCCTCCGACGTCAGCGCTGGGTGAGGGGGCGGTTGCTCCGTCCCTCCCGACAGGACGGCGACGGTAAACGGGAAGGTCACAGGGAACGAAGGAGCGCCCGACAATACGGCGGCGGGGACCGGCAAGGTCACGGAGAGCGGAGGAGCCAGGGAGAGGGTCCCCACACCTCCCCTCCCTCAAGGCTCGGACCCCGGGGGGCTTGAGGTTGCGTGGTCCCCAGGACCCTTGGCAGGGAGCTCGTTCAGCTGAGTGTCGCCGATGACGACGAGCACCCTCGATGATGATGATGGCATCAAACCAGGCAGGTCAGCGGTGAACGTTGATTCACTGGGAAGCTCGTGACCGATGGAGCACGGTCCACGAACTGGTCCGGAGCACCCCAGCTCACAACACGGACGGGCACTCAGGCACACACAACACGCCGGCTCTTAAAGTTCGCTTCCGTCCCTAATGTAGCAGACAGCGAATCGCGCAAAAACGAATACCGGCACGCTATATCAGACAGCGCGACGAAACCAAAATCTTTCGATCGTTGGACATGCCACGAAATAAAAACAAAACTCTTCATTTCAACACCAACAGGCAGGCAATCATCAAGAACGTCAAGCTACACGTTCAAGAGGTACATAAGAGGAAATCTATTCCTGAACTAAAAAGCGTGAGCACTCATTGTATGCTCAAATCGTACATACGCCCACTATACAACATTTGCTCCTATCAAACTCAACCGCATTCTTTTAAAACAGTAAGCAATCTACCAGGGCGTCAGAACCGCACACCTCTGACAACAATATTAATCTCCAACACGCTCGCGAAGAACACAAAACCTCAAAAACTAAGAATAACCTTCCGTAAAACAGAAACGGTCACAAATCCAGTCCCGTTCGCGAGGTTCGACTCGGAAGGAACACGCTGCCAACAACCCATGACGGGCACTCATGCACTCGGCGTTCACGCTACCCGAGCTACAAACACGCTACAGCCAAGCTACGCAGCACGCCTTCATCAGAAGGGGTAATCACCTTACTGAGAGGCCGTTGTTCCGTGGTACCGGTTACTTACACCAGTACAAAGGGAACAGTACCTGGATCGTGCGAACAGCAGATCTCATTGGACAGCCTATTTACACGGCTATGTCCGTAACGTCTGGGCATGTACCAGACGTTACCGCTTCACCGCTCGGAGGTGACCACCCAACAGGAGCGACGAGCGCGTAACGGCGGTCCGCACCGAACCCCGCACGGGCTCGACAATCGCGACAAGCGCATCGACGCACGTTAGAGTTCTCCGCCGGCCAAACCCGACACCGCATAACTAAAAAGTCTTCCAGCTGATGTCAAGGCCGGCCGGGATCGAGCAATAAAGGTACGCCGTCAACGCGTCTTGCGACTCTTCGACGTTCTCGAATCGAGCAACGTGTCCACATACAAACGCAGTAGGTTACGCACAAAGCTCGCCCCCAGCGAAGTCAACACGCCGCATGACTGAAAAGTCTTCCTGCGACTGTAGAGACAGGCAGGGTTCGAACAATGTAAGTATCCCACACGCGCACCTCTCAACTTCCGCGCAACGAGCGCGATACCAAAATGCCAAATAATCTAACCGGCCGGTCTTGGAAATGGACGAGCTAATAAACTATATTTGCTCTGCATAAACAGTTTCCGCAGCGTCGAAGTGTCTACAGCATTTACCGCCGCATTCCAACACCCGCTACCCATTCATGCAAAGGCTGCAGTTAGTACAGCGACGGGCTGACCCAACGCACAACAGTTATAGGCCGCCGACGGCCATGCCGCTGCCATAATTTCTAGGCTTCCCGGGCACGTACCCGCCGACGTGAACCGTACGTTTTCCCGGGCCAACCGCGCATCTGTACAGGATAAAACTATGAACCACTCGTCACATCCTCGCAAGACCGCCACTCCCCTCGTACAGGTTTTGACTGCACGAGCCCAGCTCTTTCCTCACCTAGCTGTCTTTTCTTCCCTAAATTTATAATTCCACTTAATCCAGGTCTCTGCACTACCAATTACGCTCTCTAAGCCCTCGCGTCCCAACGCGAACCAAAGCACGGCTGAGAACCGTATCCGGCGGCAGCGCAAAGCGCGCGCTGGCCGCCGCTCCTCCGGAGACGGAGAAAACGAAATAAAGAGTAACTCCCGCCTCGAGGCTCAACCATCGATATGGCGGTGTGAGGATCCGGAACCAACTGTGCGCACAATCAAACGGGATCAACCTCACGACTCTACAACCAGATACGCACGGGTCATGCCCATCGCGTCACACTGGACTCCACGGAGCATTACACACGCACAGCCACTGATAAGTGAACACGGAAACTCTGTGGCTTTCGGGATTTCGATGTCTACGCACCAGACATCGCGTATCCGGCACAATTTAGTGGGCTCAGCCCCTAAATGTAGCCTCTGGCCACAAGGTACTCGTTCAAAGCGATCTTGGTCGGAACCACAAGAGCGTATCCGTACCTTAAAACGCTGTCAACTAACGACGCTCAAAACCGCGCCGACAGCTCAAGCAAGGCCAACTGGGAGCTAGCATGGGATCAAACCGAGACGCTAGTCTCCTCCCGGACAAAATGCAATGCGGGAATAATTTCCAAACACAGTCCATGCAACCGCCATGCGCAATGGGAGCGTTGTCCACCCAGAGCGATGCCTCTTTAACGCGTCCGATCCGTAACAAGCGTTACAAACCATTACATCGATACGCGAGCAAAGGCGGTTAGGCGCGTCACATCCCCCAAAGCGTGAGCCGGCATCTTTCCCAGCAGACGTGGACGGCCGGAGGCGTAGGTGGGGTGACGCCCGACGCTTCATGCCTCGAGGGGTGCGGTAATTTCCACGCACACAGCGCTCTTGCGTAGCAGGATCAACCTGCCAGCATCCAACGGTGCGCTGGACAGCAAATACTCATGGCGCTTCTCGTAACGGGGGATAAGTAAATTCCTGACGGGCTGGGCAAAAGGGTTAATCCCTTAAAACAGCGGTCAAAATCCGCGCCGCCTAGTCAGACAGGCGATAATGTCAGGGCCTCCGTGCGGCGCTCCCGCAACGAAACTTCGTGCGGCGCTCCCGCGACAAAGATGACCCCCAAAAAGAGCGCGAAACAGTGCCCCAATTCAACCGGAAACAGGTTAGGAATCGGAATGCCTGCCTGATCAAAAATCAGGCCCCACGTTGCGGCGCCAGTTTATGCGGGCATTTTCTAACTCCGATTCCCACAAATCCTGTCTCCGGATGAATATGACACTTCAATGCTTCGCTCTCGGCAAAAGGGTTTATTCACTCACTCATTGCCTTGGGGGGTTTCGGGATCGGGGGACGGTCATCAGCGAGGCCGGGGGAGAGTCCGCTGCCACAGCAGCTTCTCCGAGTCCCAGCGGTGGTCGTCCACACCGCGTCATGGGGACGTCGTCGTCCAGGGTCGCTGTCCGGTCCGTTTGTCTAGTCGGCCACTCGACGTAGTGCCCGCACTCCCTGCGCCAGCGTCCAGCGCCGTCCGAGCTCGCCTCCGTGACCGGTCCCTTGTGTAGTCGGCAGCCCAAGCTCTCTTCCTTTGTCTTCGTTCCCCTTTTGAGACCTTCCCAAGTCCTTGTCCCGCCGACCGTCCAATCGGGAACCTTGCTGCGAGCCGACCCTCCGACGTCAGCGCTGGGTGAGGGGGCGCTTGCCCCGTACCTCCCGGAGAGCTCGGACATTCCGCGACCGGACGGCGACTGGAAACGGGAAGGTCACAGGGAACGAAGGAGCGCCCGACAATACGGCGGCGGGGACCGGGAAGGTCACGGAGCGCGGTGGAGCCAGGGAGAGGGTCCCCACAAGCTCTAACATACAAAAAAAAAAAAAACATCCCTAAAAAAAGAAAAAACAAAAACAAAAAAAGAGCTAAGCTCCAATGAAGTTTTTGAAGTATTTTTCAGTGCTATATTGTTCAATAGATGTCAATTGATGAATATTTCCACAACCAGAGTACAAAACCGCTCACGAGTCTCAGTATGGGAGAAATGCATGCGGATATAATCTCTTGCAGTCTAGCTCTTCGCTATCAATAAGAGCACTCAATATGCGGAGCTCTGATCATTATTGTCATTAATTTTGAAAAGAGTCTGATTCGCATTTAATTGATAATCACTATGTTGGTCAGCCACACAAAATCGCTTGCCCTTTATCGACCGTTTCACTGTTCCAAAATATCTCAAATAAAGGTGTGTGTTACGTTTTTGGATCAAGCTTTTAATATGAAAATAGAACGTGCATGATTGTAATTGAATTTTTGGGACGCTTCAAGCTAATAAATTAAGTTACCGCCACAGAAAGTCAATGTCAGAAAAATCATTAGTACCTATTTAAGGAAATTCAAATATGATATGCAAGTTCCTTGAAACAGTCGTACTAAGTGGAGAAGCTATTACAAAAAAAGGTTAACATTTAGAATCTTGTTCTCCCAACATGTCGGGTAGCTGAATTACTGTATGTATGAGCAAAGTATGAAACCTGGACATAGTAATGCTGCACATACATACCGGTAAACAGACCAGCACATATGCAGGTGGCAGGAAGGGATTGACAATAAACCATGCAACTTCCGAACAAACAGCAAGGCCAGCTAGCTTCACCAAGAGGTATGGGCATGCACAGGGCTAGTGCGGTGAGTTGGCTTCACATTTCGTTTGGAAGGTGGATGGTCTTCCATCGAGTCCTTCCTGCCACTTGTACATGTAATGTCATCACTGGATTACGTTGCGTGTTGCTGCGTGTTCCGCCTATGGAGGTAGGCTGCTATGGCTGCCCTCACGTCCTGTTCATTTCCAGAGGCAACATCCGTTCTACAGAGAGGTTGCAGGAACATGCGGTCGTAAAGCTGAACCTCGGTGACCCACTGTGGCTCAACCCCATCATTGAAGTGCTCGCAGATGTTGTTGAGCACACAGCAGGCTCGGATGATGACCCTGGCATTGTCTGCGTGGCACTCCATTCTTTTCATTATGCAGCGAAAGCGTGCCTTCACTCTGCCAAAGGCGTTCTCTACTATCCTTCGTGCTCCCGAGAGCTGCTTGTTGAAGCTAGCTTCTGGAGACCTTTCCTTCAAGCCCTTGCACGGATAGGGCTTGAGGAGGTTTGATGTGAGAGGGAAGGCCTGATCGCACAAGATCAGTGGTGGCACAACAGCTCCATTCACAGTGACAAGCGGAGTTCGAAACAATGGTCCTTCCAAGACCTTTGCAGGCTCCGACCTGCGGAAGACGTGCGCGTCGTGGCATCGTCCTGGTGCTCCCACGTTGACATAGCGGAAACTGTAACGGTGGTCCACCAGAGCCAGCAGAATGATTCTATGCCTGAAAAAGAAGCATTGGATGCAGGCAGATTTAATTATGAAAATCCCAACACTTTGAAATGCTTCGTTTGGCTGTTTGGCACGCAGATCTTCTAATTGTTGATATCACAAATGTTAAATGGGTACAGAAACCAAAGTCTGGAGCTCATCTCTTTGCTTAAACATGAAGTGGAATGAAGTGGAACTTCACCAACACCAATATTTCGTAGGATAATGCAAAAAAACATAATTTAAACTGAATACAATGATAACCAAGAACCATCTCGTGGATGTCTTGAAAGCTTCAATGGAATGTCGTGCCAATAACATGCACGTAAAGGCCTGTTCACACCTGCAACTCAGTAGGACGGAGAGAGACAAGACCCTCTTGCGACGGCCTAGGACAATTTACAAACCCCAATAGAACCAGATAAGAAAACGACTGAGCCCGGAGTATAGCTGTCCGACGGCAGAAACTGTACTTCAAGCCATCATTACCGAGTGCCCCAATTATGAAAGGAACAGGGACAATGTGTACACCAAACTCGCTGTCTAGAGGCAAGTTTCTACGGATAATATTTTGTTTCTGGTGCTATTAAAAAGATTCGAAACATCTGTCAATGCACCCTTGAATCTTTTTTTGTGGTAAAGGACACTTGCAGAATACAGCAAAACAACAGAGACCCGGGGGGGGGGGGGGGGGGGGGGGAGGGGAGGATCAGTGGCCGAGAGGACTAGGGCACACCAGCTCGGAGCATGTGGAGCGAAAGCTCGGGCTGCAGAACCCATGGATCCTGGGCTCAATCCCCATCCCTGCTTGTTTCGATCTGGATGAGCATCGTACTGGCGTGCAGTCATGTATCGCTACTGCGTGGTGCTTGTTAAAGACCCCAGGCTAGCGATTGTACCGCACTGGCTAAATTGCTCATCTACAGCTGAGATACCAGACGCCCACTGAGGCAGGCTAACTTCCGGCTCTGTAAACAGACGACAATTTGCATACAGAGACGTAGGGTTCAAGAGAGCTTTCGGGCTAAACCCTTAACTAGCCAATGACAGCACCAGCGCTAAATGCTGGCGTAACCTAGGGAAAGTTAAACACAAACAGGCCACTACCACCACTACATACCAGCCCTTGTGGTTGTGGTAGTCGCTTGCATTTTCTTGTGGTGGTGACACCGGGAAGTGGCACCCATCCAGCGCTCCAACTCCTTGCGGAAACTCCAACGCAGCTTGGAACTCACGGATGTGTTCCGGCAGCTCCTTTGAGGTCATCAGTTTGACCCATTCGGGCTCGAGGACAGCCACGATCGTCTCGCAAAATTCCCGGTACTGTTCGTTGACTGTCGATCGGCCGATACCGAACAGGGTGGCCACCGTCCTGTCCTCGGCCGTGGAGCATAGTTTAAAGAGGGCCACTCCCACCCGCTTCTCTATCGCGATCGTCTCCCGCATGCAGGTGACTTGTCGCTCCATGTAAGGCCGGCACACATCAACAAGGTAGCAAAATGTAGCTGGCCTTACACGGAACGTCTGTTTGAAAAAGTACTCCGGCATGGTTGGGCAGCGTGTCTTCAAACCATCGCTCGTGCCTCACGAAGGACTGCACCTGCCGATGCACTGTGAGGCAGTCCACTGCTGTTGTTGCGAGCACGAAGTTATTTGCCAGAATTTGGTCCTCCAAGCGATCGGCCTCACTTTTTGCCGTTGACACGGCAGCTCGGATGGCAGCCAAAGAGCTTTGTTGCTGCGCGTGCATGCATAAAAGTACAGCGACCTGAGTCTCTGGCGGTTCTGAATGTTCCATTGTTGACACTCTCAGAAGCCAACAGATCGAGCAGACGAGGAATCACGGCAGCGCGAGGAACGATGGAGAGCTCAGTCGCTCAGTAGCTCAGTTGGCTCAGTTTTCGAGCGGGAACATCATTGTTGCCTTTAGAGCGGCTCATACCAGCCAGTACCAACCAAAAGTCGCTTCGCTAGCAAAAACACTGCGTGTATTTGTTAAAAAAAACACTATATAAACACAATCTATAATATTGTTTACACAAATAAATGGCAATACATCAGTAATTTTGTTTTATTGAGCCATTTATTTTGATAAATGAGTGACCGCTGTCTCTAACAAATCGAAAAATACAGTTGCAATAAACATCTCCTAAATGGCATTCGAAATGTTCTCCGACACGTCTGACACCCGAAAGCTTGAATGACCTTTGAGAATCTCGAAGGCCTTTGGCCTAAATGGCATTTGAGATGACCGTCTGACAGGGGTATTATTAAGTTCTGCAATTCTGTTCACAGTGTAAACATTTCTCTTACTCGTTTTTGAAATCGCATTATTTTTGTTTATTGGCGAGACATGTCTTAGGTCGCACGTCAAATTAAACTTCCGTTGTTGTCTCCATCTGTTTTTTTTTTCTGTCTCTGTCCCTTGCTATATATATATATAATATACATGCGACTTGTTTAGAATGTTCGTACCAGAAACACTTTGCTTCATTAACAATATAGGTATATTCTGGCAAGCGACCAGCGGGGTGTGCAGTTACGCGTCGCGGTGACCGACAGGAGCGTGCCACGGGCATGGGACGCGAGCTCTCGAACGATCGCGTGCGTGGCGCACCAGAGCCTCGGCGGCAGGGGTTTGAAGCCTGGCCTGTAACTATGCTCTGTTTCATACTTAGCGTGGAACGCTGTCAAAGCTACTGGCGCGAGCGCGTGGCTTCATCTATGGTTTTGTTTGCGCGAGAACGCGTGCAAATGATCAACGAGATCAAGCCCTAGTTTTGTTTAACCCGAGACTGGGGTATTTCGGAAAAGGGACGAGAAGAAAAGAGGCCACAAGGAGGCGACGTCTCAAACACAGCTAAGGATTTTATTCCATCGTATGCACTTTTATCAGGGTTGCCAGGTAGTTTCTAGCTGAAACCGCCAAAAGTCTGACAGTGTAGCCCAAAAGTAGCCAAATGCAAGTTATTTATGTAGCCCAAAAGTAGCCATATTCTGCAGGGCCGAAAAATTGTGCGCTTGAATATGCGAGCTCAATTCGAAGGCACTGCGTCTACATATCTAGGGTTTAGGAGCAGCTTGCAAGATCTACGACATCTTGAAAATTATTGAACGTTTTATTTCAAACACAGAAGTACAAAAATTTTCCAGACGCGTTTTTGCAGTCACATAGTTATGAAGCACACGCTCGTGCCCGGCTTACCCGCGTCATACATGATTTCTGTGTTAAAACGGGCTAAAACTTCTTCAGTAGGGTTGATGTCCTTACAGAACTCGTTCTTCCTACGGAAAGCAAACTTTACATAGAGAACGTTTTGAGGAGTTGGAAGGGACATGTTCTACCTTAGGACTGACTTCGTGAAGGACACGTGACTGAATACTCTTTCCACGGCGGCATTCGACATGGGCAGTGTCGGAAGCGCGATAGCAAGCTCTGATAGCAACAGAAACAGGGCTGCTCCTGCAGATTGATCTTGGCCTTGTTCAGAATATTCATTGTCCCAAATTTCCTGTCTTTTGTTATGGCTCATTGTGCTTTAAGAAACTTTCATGCTTCGCGGAAAAGCCTCATTCGTTATATGCGGTACAGCACGTGTTATCGGGTGAAATCAAATTCTGCAGAGCGTCTTGAGTTGCCTTTAGTATAATTTTTCCTCAGAGGATGTGCTTCCTGTAGGATGATCGATGGTGGCAAACTCAATAAATAAGAGACGCCAGTAGGAAGCAGAAAGGACTTGGGAGCATAAAATAAGCCACAATTACTACAAAAGCGATGTCGTCGGAGCTGAATCTAGGTCACGGTAGCTCACTTAAGCTAATAGGTTCTGGCATCACGCCCACGAATCTTCAGGCAAAAAATCCCCGAAAGCGGGAATCCAGAAAGGGTGAACTATCGCTTTGTGTCCATGCTGAAGTGCCTTTTGTACAACTACTTTAAACCAAGCAAAAAAAAAAAGTGCTGCGTTAGCATATGAAATAGCCCAAAAATAGCCACATAGCCAATCACCAAATTTCGACGCCAAATGCATGACAAAGTAGCCCAATTTGGCTATTAATAGCCCAACCTGGCAACCCTGACTTTTATACACACCACGTCCACACACCACCAACCAAGTCGACCAATGACAACATAACACCCAGAATACACTAAGCCAAACATAGGCCCAAAACATTACAAAAGAAAAATCTTTCAGCCAGACAAAAGGACAAGATAAGCCTCCGACCACACAAAGTCAACAAAGAACCGTTAAAAGGTTTTTTCAAACCCGCAAACACACGGAACCAAAGGGAAAGAGGGCATACAAGGCTTAATTACACAAAGCCAAGCAACAAACCATTAAACTAGCCGGTACTTAGTCACCGTAAAAAAAAAAAAAAAAAAAAAAAAAAAAAAACGGCAACCGGTTATTCTAACCCGCACTATACATTGCAGGAAAGCGGAAGAGGGTAACCATGAACCAAAAAACACAAAGGGGAGAATGTAAAAGTTCCAACCTCAACTACACACTTGAAAGAAGTAACAAGGAATACCAGAACAAACAATATGTCCTGCACCTGTACTGCATCTTTGTAGGCAGCGCACAAAGTGATGGATAGCTAAAAAAAAAAAAAAAAAACAAAAAAAACGGGAGGTTTACATTTTGAGGAATTTTCTTGAGCTTTCTCCTAGATGCATTGATGGCTGGCTAATACAATTTCCCATCGACTTAATTCGGATTGTTTCCTTCACTACCCTTTTTATCTCATTTTCCTCTCGATGTATTACCTCCGTTTCCGACCAAAACACCTTACAATTGTTGCACTCAGACACGTGCTTGGCGATCTCCGAGTTCGGTGCCCCGTTTTTTACATTTCTTTTATGCTCGGTCAGTCTGTCATTCACGCACCGCGAAGTTTGCCCCACATATCTAAAACCACATGCTAAGGGTATCTCATAGACTACACCTCCTTTGCAAGCCACTGACCTGTCCTGATGTTGCCTTCTGCATTCCCTTGGAGGTGCAAAGAACGGAGTCATCCTGTTTAATTTGTAATCAGTTGAAAACACTACGTCAACTCCAAATCTGTGAGCACTCGCTTTAAGGTTATGCGAAACACTGTGGAAGTACGGGACTACGGCAACCTTTTTACTTCTTTCTCTCGTTGTTCCATTTCTCTCGCCGAAACTTGGGGAGAGCTGCCTCGTGATGAAAACTTTATCATAACCCGCATCCTCTAACCTCACCCACTGCCTTTTGAGGGCTTGGCCTACATAATGAAGACATGACTTCTTTAGAGCGTTTCCGATTATTGATTTGACCACCCCAGCCTTCACAGTCTTTGAATGGCAGCTTCTTCTACTTAAAACTGGCTTTGCCGATTCTTTTCCGTACTCCCAGCACACTCCTTCTTGCACGTGAATACGTAAATCTAAAAACTGCAAAACTCCTCTGTCTGGCCCTTCAACAGTAAAGGTAAGTTCCGGTGCTGAGGCTCTCACCAGACTCTCTATTGCTCCCGTATCCTTCCCATGAAAGCTCATGACCACAATGTCATCAACATACCTTCTCACTAAAACTTCACCCGACCCCCAAACTGCCAGCCTCTTCCGCTTTCCTTCAATGTGTAGTGCGGGTTAGAATGACCGGTTGCCGGTTTTTTTTTTTTTTTTTTTTTTTTTTACGGTGATTAAGTACCGGCTAGTTTAATGGTTTGTTGCTTGGCTTTGTGTAATTAGGTCTTGTATGCCCTCTTTCCCTTTGGTTCCGTGTGTTTGCGGGTTTGAAAAAACCTTTTAACGGGTCTTTGTTGACTTTGTGTGGTCGGAGGCTTATCTTGTCCTTTTGTCTGGCTGAAAGATTTTTCTTTTGTAATGTTTTGGGCCTATGTTTGGCTTAGTGTATTCTGGGTGTTATGTTGTCATTGGTCGACTTGGTTGGTGGTGTGTGGACGTGGTGTGTATAAAAGTGCATACGATGGAATAAAATCCTTAGCTGTGTTTGAGACGTCGCCTCCTTGTGGCCTCTTTTCTTCTCGTCCCTTTTCCGAAATACCCCAGTCTCGGGTTAAACAAAACTATGGTTAACTTCCACCAGCTCGCCTGCACCCTTACAATTTTTTCAAGATCAAGCCCCACGCTCGCGCCAGTAGCTTTGACAGCGTTGCACACTAAGTATGAAACGTTAACGAGAATGGGACGTGGCAGAAGGTGGTCTCATGCTTCTTACTGCGGGGTTTGAAGTTAGCTAATTTGGAGAAGTCAATTGCCTTAAAGAACTCTAGTGAGTTGATTGAAGTAATCGAAAAGTTTCACGGAAGGAAGTGCGCGGTATTCTCCATGGACATCAAGGACCTATATTACTCTTTAGAGAAAAGCAGACTAATGAATAGAGTGAGGATCGCCTTGGAAGGGAACCTTATTAAGTTTCAATCAGGAACAGGAATAGCGGTGGGTAGTTTTCTTTCGGTGCTAGACCTTTATTTAGTCAACGGTATTGGAATACGAAGGTCGCAATTTTGTGCAAAAAGAGGGAGTCTGTATAGGTTCGTCTGTAGCGCCTTTGTTAGCGGAAATTTATTTAAACACGGTGGACCAGCAAGTGTATGACAAGGTAGAAGAGTTGTCTCCAAAGTGTTTTGTGAAAAGATTTGTGGATGATATCTTAGTTTGCCCTGTTCAGGAAGGATTGGACCAAGTTTTAGAACAAGTAGTAAGGTCAGCGGCGCCAGAGTTGAGATTCACGTTAGAGAGGCCAAGGGGCGAGGTCCTGCAATTTCTCGACCTGCGTTTACATTTGGAACGAGATCTTTGTTGGG